GACAAAGCTGAACAAGGGCCGCCACCACCACCACCACAGCCGCCACTTCTACTACTACTGCTACTCCTACAGTACTGCCACGACTACTGCTACTACTACTGCTACTGCTACTGCTACTGCTACTGCTACTGCTACTGCTACTGCTACTGCAACTGCTACGACGACTACTAAATACTATTGCTCCCACCACCGGTGCTACAGTTGCTACGGCGGCTGCACTGCCACGGCAATGACGCCGACAAAGCCACAGTCCTGCTGCAATTCTTAACGAGTAATTGTGGCAGAAGTCTCTCGTAGCAAACTTTGTCAATGCCAACAATATCATACTGGGGATTGTTGCCTTCAGCTCGTCTCGCATCTTGAGAATCTCTTCCTGGTGGACCACAGCCACTTGCCTCGAACGCTGCCGCTTAAAGGTCGAGCATACATGAGAATAGAAGAAAACCGCAATTTCAGCCGACTCGCGAACTGGAATACAAACACTTTGAGCAGAACAAGACACTTGAGGACTGCCTCATCGACGCATCGCTGCGCCGCCGCAGTTGTGAGAGTTCCGAGTTGCGTCGGTGGAGATCCTGGCAAAGCAATAGAAGACCCTAGGATCTAACCAACTTCAACATGTGTTGCCAGTAAAGACTACTACCAACACTAGATCTACGGGTACCTACATCATTCTTCTGACACGAAAACTACAGCTGATGCTGCGCTTCTTAGAACTGCTACTACTACTACTACTACTACTACCACCACGAATGATACGACTTGTGCTAATACTGGCCCTGCGTCGGTCACAGGCAGTCTTGGCTACCACTTTCCTAAGGCAGGACCGTGCACTAGCAGCTTAAACAGACTACCGGGCTTCGTACGCGCTGTCAACTGACTCAGCTTTCACAACTACTATTGCTGCTGCTGCGACTGAGTACTACTACTTCTACGCCTATTCCTATTCCTATCTCTACTCCTGCTCCTACTCCTCCTCCTCCTGCTCCTACTCTCACTAATGCTACCACCACCACCACCACCACCATCACCACCACCACCACCACCACCACCACCACCACTGCCACTCCTGCCGTTGGTGCTACTTCTGCTTTGACTCCTTCTACTTCTACTACTTCTGCTGCTGCTGCGCCTACTACTTCTACTACCACTACTCCTACTACGAGCTACTTCTATGAGTTGTCAGAGGCAGTTGCTAGTATGCGAATATGTCCAACCAACAACAGAAAAACGACAACTGTAATCGGCATCGCTGTGGGGTAGCTCTGTGTCCGCAGGCCCGCAACTGCATGGGAAGTTCCTTGAAATGGCTGAGGCTCTAGGATCAGGGCGCAGCTGTCCTGCCCCGTTTTCCGAGTTACAGCCTTCAAGATGTCCCGCTCTCTCGTCAGGCTCGGGGGAATACTTGAAGCACATGCAGTTTGGAAGACCTGTGTATGACCCATAATAACAAAGACACCGCGACTGGAAGCTGCGAGAAGACTCAAAGCCTCGCCTTAGGCAATGAGCCAGAGAGCCGCCTTTTGAGTTTCTGCAGAATCGATGTCAGCCGATGTGGAGACGACAGCTAAAAGGATATACTGCTTGAAAAGTCCGTGCCGGGATGCAGGCTTGATTTCTACTGCCGTTACGAATCTACTGCCGTTACGAAGCTACTTCTCACTACAGTATCATCACGTTTCGTACTCTGACGACTACAGTGAGCTGGAGCACTGCCGTGACTTCACTGCATCACTTTCCTGCACCCGTCGGTCACATCATTCAAAGCGCAGGGCTCGGGGTTCTAGAGAGAGTCAGGGCGACGGTATAACAGTTGACTAAACTACCGAAGCGAAGAAGCACACAAATGTGCCTTCGCATCGATCCATACTTACGTGACATCGGGAGCAGAAACTGTCTTCGCCATGACTCCGCCTCATCCCAAGGTCCTGCGTCAGGCGGCCTCGGAGGGGTCTGCCACGCTCCAGTTCCTACTCACCACAGCTCCTTGCAATCTGGGGGAAGGGGAGTTCTTAAGAGTTCCGGGGGGGGGGGGGGGGGGTAGGTACTCGTGTGGATCCTAGTTGTGCGGATCCGACTAGTCTAGTTACAGGGATGATTTGGAGGGCCCCTAGCTTCCTGACGCTCCTAACAGTGCCAACCCAAAAAGCCCAGGCAGAGTGCCGCAGCCCGAGTCCGACGTAGCACTGACCACAGGAGGCGCTCCAGTCAGCAGCTTAGGGTTTAGGATGGGTTTAGGGATGAGGGAATCTAGATATCAATGTGCCCTTTCGGTAGTGGAACGCTTTGAGGCAGTCAGGAAGCATGCTGCTGACCGTCAGTAGCCTCTGCGGATGTCATGCACAGAATTGGCCAGGCAGGCATGCTCTTGTCCATAGAAGACTTCAGCATCAGGATCCGCATAGAATTTCCGGGCTCTAACTCCGTGGATTTCGCTGGCAGGACAGAGTCCAGCAGTCGGACGTGGAGCACCCAAACTGCAAGAACTCCTGCCGCCTGTGTAACGACCGGCGTGCCTGCTCAAGCTCTCCTACTGGCAATCGCAAGCTCGAAGTGTCCAGGTGTCAGGCTGACTTCTTCGGGGTCTTAGCGGTGCAAGCAACCACAGTGCAGGCTCTGGTCTTAATTACTGGGGTATCTGTGTGACACCTCGTGCTTTCAAGCTGGATTGACCCCTATCGCATACCTTTAGACTTTAGACAGCACAGCTTCCTGCCTTGCGGGGTCGGAATGGCCATCGCCAATCATCGCTCATATCTTGATCAAGAGTCCGATGCGAAACTAGAGGCCCTAGCGGTAGAGCAGGCGCGCTGCAGCCACGCGTGTCCAAACGACCGGCAACAACTCCAACCCAACGCCTTTCGACATCAGAGCCATGGCAATCATCGGAGAATTATCGCAACGCACCAGAAGCCCAGATGAGGAGACAGCCACTCTTCCTCCCCCTAACAATGATACTTAACAAACACCGTGAACCGTTCGGAGATTGAGATCACACCAAACGGGCATATGCCGATGTCAATGCATCAACTCCTGCCACTACAAGAGTCTTTCGTAGATACTCTCTTTAGGTTCGCCGGCGAGTCGCAAATGCCTCGTGTTCACAGGGAGCTTAAGGACTTACTCTCAGGTAGACGAGACGACCTGCAGTTCTGCTACGAGTCGTGCGCTGGGTCCCGACTCCCAGGCAGGTTGCTGCGCAAGAATCTGGCTACGAGCGCCGCTCAGCCTGCTCGAGTCCCTGGAGGCTTCGCCTATCCCTGCTCAAGCGCTCGTCACACCCAGAAGCTGTCCTTCGAAATAGACAGGCTACACCAGTACAGGTTGTGACTCAGGTGACCCAAGAGGTATTTTTGCGTATAAGCCTTTGCCATATTGGGCAGATGCCCAAAACAGAAACCTATTTTGAACAGCACGGATATAGCAACCGCACTTGCCTTGCTCGTTGGATGCATGGGGTTGCCAAGATGTAATGGACCCAAACACCAAATCCTGCAGCCCTGAAGCCCAAACCCTAGGGCTCGACGGCCCAAGCAAACGCACAGATTCGAAAAGTGGCGCAGCCAAAGTTGGCTCAACTGCTGAGCCCAAGGGGTTTAACCCTGAGCGTTACCTGAACATACCTGGATTCGAAACGCCAAACCGGCAACACCAAAGGTCTTGGGCACGGCAGGTGCATGAGAGCACTCCAGCCGCCTAAAGCTGCCTTTGGTCCATATCCGGGTCAGGGACCAAATGCGAAAGAACGACTGATACTGCAGGCAGAGAATGCAAGCTGAAGCCGCGGAGCAATGATGTCAATCGAACAATCGGAGACTCGGAGGTGCGACTCCAAAGCTTTGAAGTCTCGCATCCCCGCCTGACTTATGTTCGATCCTTCCGACAGCACACGAACTAAAGACTAAACATTTCAGCACGCTTTCATACGTCGTGCGCACCTCTCCGAAGACCAGCCAGCTCGTAAGTTACACCTTAAGAAAGCTCTTAGCAACTCATGACCTGCAGAGGAATCCCGCTGAGGTCAACAAAGGCTGCAGAAAGATTGCCCTGCCAGCAAGCAGCTAGTCTCATGCAGTCATACTGCGTCACCCCCGCAACCCCAAACTGCCAGCTGACTACCAAAAGTTACCGCAGGATCCGGCGAACATTGCGTGCCATTCAAAATACTCGCTACCTACACCACCAACGCAAGAGTTGCCACAAGCCACAAAGGTGCGATGGCCAATCAATGAGACGAGCAAGACTAAGCACTGGTGCTTGGCGTGGTACCTCCGACAGGATTGCACTCCTATTCGTGCGGCTAAACAGAAAGGTTCTGCCCGGCAAAGTATGGGCCACACTTGTTTGTTGAACATGTGCCACATCGGATTTTAAAAGCCACCGGTGATGCAAGAGCCGCGGCTCGGGAGCGCCAAAGCATGCGGCTCTATGCATCCCTGAAAAGGCGTGCAGCAACTGTCGCCGGAGTTCCGAGCTTGTGTTCAACCTGCCTCTGTTCCACCCTGTCCTGTGCAGAGATTGTGTTCCTTCAGAGCCTCAGAGTGCCTTAGAGAAACAAACCATCCGGCTGGTCAACCAGAACCCTGCAATGACGAACCTTACGAGCGCACGGTCCTTGCTCAGTCCACAATGCGTTCAATCCTGAATCCGTCGAACTCCGAAAATGGCGCACGCCGATTGCCCAGGTCCGTGCTGAGGTTGCCCGTGCTCCCGTGCGATACTACATCGGGCGGGCTTCTCAAGCCTAGGCGTGAAACGAGAGCCTCGAGGCATACTATTCATGCAAAACACGACTCGCCTGAGGCCGCAAATCCCTCCGGGTGCCTTGACAGCCCTTCGGTCTGCCAAGAGTTCCTTCTAGTTGCTTCAGACTTCAGGTATATCCAGGATCGGAGTCCACATTGGCGGACATGCAATGCTGGTCTGGTATAGGGACGGTAAAAGGTGTGCAAGTTGTGTTCTTGAGAAGGGCGGGGCGGTTAGGTACACTTGGCATAGGGCTAATAAGGGCACATAGAGGGCTTCGCAGGTTTCGGGCCTTCGGCATTCTGACTCCTAGGGTTGGGCTTGGAGTTTTTGGGCCCTGGGGTACGGCCCTGAGCAACTTGGGATCTCGACCCTGGGAACGGTGCAAGCCGGCTGTGTCCAAGCCCTTCCCTGCCCCTGATCGACAGAACAAAGACGGTCACGGGCGCTAGTGTTGCGACGATGACATCAACGAGTTCTAGGGTTTTGGCCGGGGATGTGCAGCCGCGGCAGGACTTCTTCGTGTCGGTTGTGTTTTCAGTCGTTGGCGGGGTCGTTGCCCTGTCGGTGTTTTGGCCATCAGCCTCCCAGTTCGATGCTTCGGTCGACGTCCTGGTTGTCATCTCGGTGGCTCGCTTTGATAGTTGGTCCTTTCGGTCATCGCGTCGACGGTACTACAATCCCTGCTTCTGCCACGCTAGTTAAGCGGATGCACTTACAAGCATGACTGCAAGCCAGCAAGTCGGAAGCCAATCCCTGTGCACTTTCGTCTCGGCTTGCTGGTCATGCTGGCTGTCCCACACCGTGCAGCTTCAGAGAATTGGCATTGGACTTGGTTGATTCGCCGTGGGCGAATGCTCAGAGAGATCGCGTTATGTGTGGTTGTGACCCAGGGTCCAGGGTCAAGCGACGTCCTCGTCCATAACAAGATGACTCCAACTGCTGGTAGTATTACTAGGACTGATTATCATTTATCTTGTCCATTCCTCTGCTAAATTGAATACTCACTATCAGGGGCGGTTGGCCTCTGGCCAAGGGCTGCCGATGCTCTGAGGCTCAGATCTACGTCCACTGCTGGAACGTAGAGGATGCTCCTTACATCACGGCAGCAACAGCTTGGGCTTCAGGGCAACACGCGCCGTCTCGTAGTGTATTATGGAGCCCAAAACGACGACCAGAGCTTACCCATTCATCGAACGATCTCCGTGTCTTTGCATTTCTCAACATGTATGCCTGTGTGCATGTATGTGTGTGTGTGTACATATGTACTGGTTGGTCGCACAGCACACACATGCCTATCTCTCAGTTTCTCACGTTTACACACATATGTACGTACAGAAGTGCATGCGTGTGTGCATGGGTATGCATGTGGCAGGTATGTGGTACACACCATCCATGTAATGCAAATGCTGTGTGTAGTGGAAGCCACGGATGTAATGCCAAGCAGGTAGGCAAACATGCAGGTATGCTGCTGTGCTCTGCCTGTCAGCAGGTAGGCAGGCAGGGAAGCAGGGAGGTAGGCAGGTTAGTTAGCTTTGTAAGTAGGTTTGCAGGTAGGCAGGCAGGCAGACAGGTAGGTAGGCGGGAGGCCAGGGCATGAATGTATGCATGCATATAATATATATATATATANNTATATATATATGTATGTATGTGCGTACATCTGTTGGTATTTATGTATGCATGTATGTATTGTGTGTAGTTCATGTGATGTCTGTAATGTATGGTATGATAACGTATGTAATGTATGGTAATGTAATGTATGGTCTGGTCTAGTCGGGTATGGTATGTATTCATGTTTATATGTACACACACATAAATATAAA